TCGATGGTACTCCAATCAGAGAGTTCAAGAACCTGGAATCCAATGGTGTTCCATTTCCAAAGAAGCAGCCTATGAGGATTTACTCCAGTCTTTGGAATGCTGATGACTGGGCTACGAGGGGTGGTCTTGTGAAGACAGACTGGTCTCAAGCTCCTTTCACCGCATCCTACAGGAATTTCAATGCCAAGGCTTGTGTTTGGACTAACGGAGCATCATCATGCTCCTCATCATCTAGTTCTTCGTCTTCCAGCTCCAAAAGCAATGCATGGCTTTCCCAAGAGTTAGATATAACAGGCCAACAAAGGCTGAAGTGGGTGCAGAAGAACTACATGATCTACAATTACTGCACTGATACAAAGCGATTTCCTCAAGGTCTTCCTCTGGAATGCAAAATGCCCTAAGATTGCATATGTCTTAAGTACTAGTATATGTGAAAGTAGATAATTTTGCCTCGCCCGTTGTAATTAGTATGGTCTTGTGTTTGTAATTTCAGCCTACATCGATTCTTTTATTTTTTTTGTTCAAACTTTGTCATGTAATATATATATATATATATATATATATTATAATAATAACATTATAGTGTAATAGCGATGGATTATCTGTTTACGAATTTGCCTTTAATTTTATGATCTTTACACTCAAGAGAATGAGATTGATCTTATACACACAAAAAACAAAAATAAGAAGCTGGGGAGAGTGGGAGTGAAAAAATGATGGTAATAAAGTGCTATGAATGAGCGAGATGAGCATGCGCCAGAGTTGTATTACTCTGCATTCAATAGTGCTTTCACGTAGCATCTTGTCCCGTCTGCTTCAAAATTAATTTGCACAGCTACTATTAAATCGTTCTTTTTTGAGTGCATGCACGTTATCTAATGGCTCTTGCAACCAACAAGCTATTCAGACCGAGATAATTCCAAGATCGTAAACAGATTGTAAATAAGTCACAGACCAAGGGCATTTCTATCAATTTTGGACATTTTAGGGGAAATCCGTAACGTCAGATGCGTACAAGCCTCGAAGCTTGTATTAGTAACTTAATTAGGTCGTGGCTCATAATTAAGACTCCTTTCACTGGCATTTTCTCTTAGAGTTGATGTACTCACTGACTCTTTTTTTTTTTTTCTTTCTGTTTTTCTTGTTACAGATTCTATCTCTATTTGTTTGGTAATTGCTACGAAAGAGTTTGGCCTGGGTTCCCTTGGTATTTAAGCTGTTAAACAAGCCAATTCCCCTCAAACAAAGGCAAGGTTTTACCCACCTCAACGAATCCATATAAAACTATTACTAGTACTAAAAGTCAGATTCAAATCTATCATCATTCGCTAATAAAATAATAATTACGTAATTAACTTGACTCTTTCTCCAAATATATTATCCCCATTCTCTTCTCCTGCTACTTTGTTCTTTATGCGTATATAATTGAACAAGAACAAGGGAATGAAGATTCATAATTTCATGCCATAAAACTCGACTTTCACCAAACAGAAGAAAAGGTAAAATCACAGCGTGTTTGATCTAAATTATCCCCATTAATTGTTGGTCAGTATCCGGGGCCTATCCAAATTAGACTTTCACAACTTAATTAAGTAACGAATTGAACGAAGATGATGCCATCTGGTCAAACTTTCACAAATTAAGCATTTTCGATTGAAGCC